ATCTCTTAACCATTGTATCATTGACTTGTGGATCAGACCTGTAGGGGAGTGGTGGTCTTCTTAAAGAAAAACCCACTTCAGTATAGGCATCACAGACAGTAGTATCCCAAATTGCACACAAATCCAATGATTAGCACTGGACAGCCGTTTCGTCCTGGTGTGGCACTCATCAGCAGTGTGCATCCACGACTCCTGCTACTCGCAGGAACCGAACCCAGGACCGTCGGTCTTGCGCATAGACGTCTAACCTCTATTCCCTAGTGAACCAGCATCCAATGGTGTTAATGTAAAACTTTTGATCAATCTTGAGGGACCTGAAAAGAAAGATAGATTAGTGTTGGTTTTAGAGACCTGGGAGCGTGACGGCAGAGCCCAAATGACAACTGCTTGAGGCCGGTCACGCACGGCCTTTTTATGAAAAGTTTTTTGAGTGTTAGCTCCGCACTTGAAAGCCCTTATTAGGCAGTACCCTTACCGCCGGAGACGGAAATCCGTGAGGTAGGGTGAGGTGTGACATTTTTAGGGCCGACCTTTTCTAATCCTTCCTTCCTTGTGAGAAGGCAGCATCGCTGCAGATGCTGGTTGTCCGAGGGAAACACCTTACTGCTGTCACACCCCTCCATCACAGTCAGCAGTACGACTTCGCCCTCAGACCTTGAGTAGCTAGCTGCTTTTAGTCTCATTGCTCTACAATCGACCTGTCTGGCATGGTAGAACCTTCAGGAACATAAGTCCCAGCCAATCTAGCTCGGTTGGGTCATCACAATAGGCAAGCCTGACCACCATGTCAAGGTAACAGCTTCGGTCGGATTTTGATCAATCTAAGGATTTCACGCAACGTCACTCACATTTTCTTCACTAGTTATTGTCTACACCCGACAAGGTTGAACTCCACTAATCACGTCGTCATTTCACTACAGAGAGAGAGAGAGAGAAAACTCCAAGAATTACAATTTATTTATCGTCTTATCAACTTTAGTCAATGTTTTCTTTCATTGTCTCTCTCTCTCACACACACACTTCATAATTTGTCTTTTTTTTTTCTAACTTTTTTTCAGCAAACATTGAATTTGTTGTGATTACGACAGGATTTATCACAGGAAAATCATTTATCAATTCACTTTGTCAACCAGTGAAATCAACTAATTTGATACCTTTTTAATGTTTTTTATTTCTATCTTTTCTTTTCGTGATTTATTTAAAATGTAATTTTTATTATTATTATTATTATTTAAACATACAAACATTAATACAAACAGACATTTGAATTATTCTCGAAATCTCACATAAATCACTCATTGAAAGAGAGTTTATATGAAACAGGTTGAAGAACTGCTATCTACTAACTAACTGCCTTGAGTGTTAAAAAACCGAAGAAACACGCCAAATTCACACAATAGACTGGAGCCAACAGCAGCAGCACTACGAGATGCAGTTAGCTGGTCATCATCATCTCCTGTTTACTGATGGTTTGATTGATGTCAAGATTTTGTTTTTTCAACTTGTCTACAGTTCAATCATCTATGCCGGTCATCATCATCAACCCCCGGTATTATTAGCCTTTGGCGTATATATATATATATATATATATATATATATATATATATATGGATTTCAGTAAACCAAACACGTGTGTGTGTGTCATGCTTATCGATGTCTTGTTTATTTAATTTGAAATTGATTCTTGATCATTTGTTTTAAATAATAATAAAGAAAAAAAAGAGGATTTTTTTAATCATACGTGAAAAAATGTTTGTTTTTTCTTTTTTAAAAAAAAAATTTTTTTTTAATTTATCATATTACTCATATAACCTTTACAAGTACAGTACGGTATATAATATACAGTTGGTAAAAAAAAATTGGAAACATTGTAAGATAGCACCTGAACTCTAGTGATAGGGAGTGAAGTAGTCGAGCGTGTAGACAGACCGCTTCACTTATGTGGGGAGTTCTTATCGGTGCTGATAGCGTGTTGACTGACGAAATCTCAGCTCGGATATAGAAAGCTCGATTGGCTTCTGCCAACCTGTGTCACTTATGGTGTAGGCGAGATATCCGTTTGCTGACTAAAGGACGAGTGTACTGTGCAGTAGTAGTTCGCTCCGTCTTACTTTATGGCTGTGAAAGATGGCCAGTGAGAGTAAAAGATATTCGTAGGCTACTGGTTGTCGATCATAGGTGTCTTGGAAGCATTGCTCGTATATCGTGGGACACTCGAGTGAGCAACGCTGTTATTAGGAATCGGGTGCTAGGTAAGAATGGCAGATCAATAGATGAAGTGGTGAAACTTCATCAGCTCAGGTGGTTGGGACAAGTGTTACGTATGCCTAATCACCGACTCCCTCGACGAGCTATGTTTTGTGGTGTAGGAGTTGGTTGGAAGAAAGTTAGGGGCGGCCAGGCCAACACATGGCGGAAATCCATGAAGTCATTGACAAGTGGACTTAGCCATGTCGGTAATTGTCGACTACCTGGTTGGGGTCCGCGAGATGATAATAATCGAAGGTTAGAGACATTGAATGACATGGCTCAAAATCGTTTGCAATGGTGCCGGTGCATTTATTCTTTATGTTTTCTCAATTCGTAATCTTCTGGATTCTTCAACCCCTCTAGTTTTGACTTTCTAAACTTATCTCTTTGAATCATATTTCTTGAATAATATCTTCTAATCTTAACCTCTCCGATTACTTCTAATACCTTTACTACCTCTACTACTATTGGATTTGAATTGACAATTACATCTCTGTGCTGATGTGGTATGGCAACATGAACTGATGTACTTACGTACAAAGTTCTACGTTGCATCTGACTTTACTACAATATGTTCGCCGTTTCCGGGAGATCACAAATTATTCCTTAAAAGCTGCACATATTTCTCTCGATAATTAAGTGGCTAAAGCGTGAATTATAAACTATGAAGAAAATTTTTACATTACTTTTAATTTATCATAACAAACTGGTCAGTCATTGAACAAATGGTTGTTCTTCTCAATAATTAACTGACGACGATATAGGTAGATGACTGTTAGGATATTCACCAAATATCCTAAGAGTATTATTTTTCCAGGTATAATCCTATTGGTCAAAATTATGGTTGTTTTAACTGTCAAAGTCAAATACTTCAATGTTGTATCTTATTGGTCGTCCTAAACTGTCAATGTCACAGACTTTGATGCCCTTTCCTATTCGACCTGAGTGTATAAATACGCACTATCTGTAAAACTTCATGTTTTCCGTTCCTTCCTGCCTACCTCTCTTATGTACTCAACTCAATAAACAAGTCCATCCAACGGTGTTGCTTTCTGCTGATATATAGGAGATTCGGGAATAGTATTTAGGTCGTAATGGATCGTATTTAAATTCGGTCATCGGTAGGATTTTCAGACAGACAGATACAACTCCGAACTTCGTACGTAAGTACATCAGTTCAGGTTACCATACCACATCAGCACAGAGACGCGACTGTCAATTCAAATCCATGAGTGATAATAGAAGTATTAGCAGTAATGGAGAAGATTAGCGAGCGAAGATATGATTCTGGAAGTATAATTTAGTAAGATAAATTTGGAAGGAGTAAGGTAGAGATTCTCCATTCTTCTCATGTTTGTCTCCGTTTCTGGGCGTAATGTGTTCGTTGGCCTTCCTCTCTTCCTTTGACCTTGAGGGCTCCAAGTGAGGGTTTGTCTTGTGACCCAGTTGGGTGCTTACCTCAGTGTGTGTGGCCTATCCACTTCCTGATTTCTTCCTCAGCTGGGTTCTGGTTTGTTCTCTCCCACAGTAGGCTGTTTCTGATGGTTTGAATAGAGAAATAAGAAGGCATATTTCTCTATTCAAATTTATCAAAGGGAACCACTGTTTTGTATTTCTGATGGTGTCTGGACAACGGATCCGAAGTATTTTGCGTAGACAACTGTTTGTAAACACTTGTATCTTCTGGACGGTGACTTTGGTAGTTTTTCACATTCCCACTCCATACAGGTGAACTATCTTGACATTTGTATTGAAATCTCTGACTTTGATGTTGGTTGATAGTTGTTTAGAGTTCCAGATGTTGTTCAGTTGAAGGAATGCTGCCTTTAGTTTGCTAATCCGCGCCTTCGCATCTGCATCAGATCCACCTTGCTGATCAGTGATGCTACCCAAATATGTAAAAGTTTTTACGTCCTCCAAAGGCATCTCTCCATCAAGAATGATTTGGTTGGCGCATGTTGTGTGTTGTATTGAAGAATGTTGCTTTCCCCTTTATGTATGTTGATACCTGCGTTTGCTACCCTGGTTGTCTTCTCTTGCATCTGTTGTTGCGTGTGTGCCATAGAAGAGCCAGATCGTCCATCTGCATTCTGGTTGTCTACTGTATACCGTGTTTCCTTCCAGACGTTGACGTGTTCATGATCCAATCGATCACCAGGACATCTTACATGGTAATAAATACATAAAAATATGAACTTTTAAATTTTTCTCGTACCTAGCCTGGTATGCGTGTGTTAAATACATGAACATTGGTACTAACGGGTTGTTAAAAATTTATGTACCTCACAAATTAGTGAATTTATGTGTAGGCTGAAATGTTCTTCGGGTTCTGAAATTCAGAATTATATGATTTTCTAATGAAATCACTTCCACAGCCTACTACTGGTCTAATCTACAGGTCAGTGAAGCTATGTCAAAATCTGCATTCTTATAGTAGCCAGTAATCAAATGTAGGATAATAGGTCTCTTCTTTTGTTTTTCTCTATTCCAGTTCTCTTAACTCGTCTTCTGCTTAGACGCGAACCGCTACACTTATATCTTGTTGTATGTAGTCGATTCACGAATGTGACATAATATCATTCCAACTGATTAAAAGCAATTTAATTGATTTACAGTAATTTCAGCTCAAGTATAAAAGTAACAGTCAAATAAGAAATATTCTTTACATGTAGTTCGCTTGTTTTGCAGCTTGAACTGAGAATGTATAAAATGAATTCATTTTATTTTGTTAGGTTTCCGTGTACTACTTATTTCCTATAATAAATACTTATCTTAGGCGTCTTATCAGTGCTGATGGCCTAGTGATTAACGAACTATCAGTTGGAATACAGAAACCTCGAAAAGGTTTTCGCCAACTTACATCACTTATGGCGTAGACGAGATATCTATCCGTCGGCTAACCAAAGGACGAATTTACTGTGCACCAGTTCGCTCCGTCCTACTTACTATATGGACGTGAAACATGGCTAGTAAGAGTAGAGAATATTCGTAGGTTACAGGTGTTTTCGATGCATTGCTGGTATATCCTGGGACCATCAATTACGACAGCAAGAACCCACAAAATCAACTGCATACAAACTTTGTTCAAGAGAGCGAAGACACACTGCAGCACATACGAAGCATTAAAAAACGAGGAAAAATACCTGATGACTATCTTCCAAAAGAACGGCTATCCACGCAACTTCATCAAAAAACATCAACTGAAACCATCATCAGAAGCGAAATCAAGCACAGAAACAAATAAACGCATCATCCTACCATACATCAAAGATATATCAGAGCATATAGCACGACTACTAAAACCATTTGGAATAGGTGTTGCACACAAACCAACAGAATCGCTTCAATCAATCCTATGTAGACCAAAGGAAAACCAAATATCATCTACAAAATAAATTGCTCAAACTGTGAAAAACACTACATAGGACAAGGTGGATGACCTCTTCAGCTACGTTTACGTGAACATCAAACACCACGACAACGCTTCGCTTATATCAATACATACCGACAATTATGGACACACAATCGATTGGAACAATGTGGAAATACTGGGTAGGGGGAGGACAAAGAACACTAGAGTATTTTTAGAAGCTTGGCAATCAATAAACACATCGACATTGACCCAATTTATCAACCAATTAGAAAAATCATAGGATCAAGAAACAGATCAAAAGCGGAGTGCAATCAAAACAAAGTTGCAAACAACGACAAGTCAAAGGTCAACAGCAACCAATCAAGATCGAGGTTAGCAGAACAAGCTACAGGTCAAACGTGGAGAAATTCGAATGCTTCACTTCTATCTGAAGTTTGTGCTACTGATGATGTTCATTGTTCAGAAGAACAAACAATGAAAGCTCCACAACCAAAACAACCCAGCTCAGAGAACAAAACACCACCACAGTCATCCACCTGAGCTACAAGTTATCTCCACCATCTCACCATCGAGTAAGCAATACAATTGTTAGCATACTTTAACATAAGAAGTTAATATTATTTTTATGACTGCAGTCAGTTGGAAGTATATAAGTGTCATCATGACAAACAAACGAACCATTATCAACACATTCATTACATGACAAATATTTATTGACCCAAATTTTGACATCCTCGATTAGCATGTAAATAACGAAACTAATCGAATTATTATATATAGTAGCGCGAATAAAAAACGATTGAAATGAAATAGATTCAATGTTCAATAATAAACAGTGTTATATATTCAAATTGATCAGTCTTCAATGATTAAATTTGTTCTTTCCTCTTATCAAAAAATCACCTTTCACATTTTAGTTATCCGATGGAGTTTTGTACAACAAAATCAGTAATAAAGTCATTCTAAATTACCATAAAACCTAATTAAATTATATTGAATCTAGATAATTCTTAAAAATTATTTGTTTTAATTAAGCAAAAAAGTCTAGAACAATGCATAACTAATTATATTTTTAGAAAAAAACACAACAAAAAAACGATTCAATATAATTAATTATCAGAAATCATGAGAAATATTGATTTTTTTAAATATGTATTTTTAGTTTCAGCATGTCTTTTATTTATCATAGAAGTTTGTTTGTTTAAATTGTGATAGAAATGTAATGAAGTTCAATGTTCAATTTTTTTAATAGTATTTTTATGAAGAGAATATGTATGTATATATGTATATAGATAGATAGATAAATTTTTTCTATTTTAATTAAATGAATTGTCACCATTTAATGTTTGTTTCATGTTTGATTGTATATAATAACTTCTTTTACGATTTCCACTAGATCTTACAGTACATGCACCTTTCCAACACTAGGAAAATAAAGTAAAAATATATATATTTAAAACAATTAGTCCCTTTTATAAATTTTGATAGAATAGTGAGAAGACGTAAATGTGATGAGGTGTTTGCGCTATACATTTCGAACAATCTGGTCACACATATTTATTTGTCAAGTCATTTTATATGAAGATGAATAAGTGGCTTCAAAATCAGTTAACGTCAGATGAACCGATTAACGTTGGAAATAGAAAACCATATTCATCGATCGCCAAACACATAATTGAGACAGGGCATAAGATTGACATCAAGACAGCCTTCAAAACCTTGTATAGAAATGTTGAAGGACGAATTTTGAGGTTTATGGAAGCCTTGGCTATTAGAAAATTAAAACCCCTCCTTATGTGTGCAGAAACAATTTGTCATAACCTTGAATTTACCTTGGTAATCTTTAAGCCTAGGGTAATGTGACAATTTTCCTACCCCTTCTTATTCTTTTCACATTACGTTAATTTTCTCTCCCCTTTATTTACAATTATCACTCTATGTCTATTTGAACTTTTATTCAATTGACCTTTTATTCATCTTCATATAAAATGCCTTGACAAGTAAATATGTGTGACCAGATTGTTCGAAATGTTTGAGGCGCAAATACATCACATTTTTCCGATCAATTACGTCTTCTCACTGTTCTATCAAAAATATATATGTATTCCATTTTTTAATAGGATCTTGAAAAAAAATCGCTATACCCTGCAGTATCATTTTTAATTATTGAGATTATTATGCGCTAATTATTATTAAATATCTTCCATCAAATGAATTTACATGATAAATTAGGTTTTTTTAAAAATAATTTCATAGATTACTGAAAACTTTAATAAGTAGTATGATAATATCATGATAAAATTTGTCAGCTTCTGCATTTAATTAAAAAAAAACATTGAATCACTGATAATCCCAAATCACATGCACTTATGAATACTATGGCATTTTTATTGAAACCAGTTGTTAACATTGGACTAATGACATTAAAGTCTTAGCTATTCCAGTTAAACATTATCTGAAAGCATATAAATTATTTTGGGGCAGAGTTTTGGAGGTTTGCGTTTTCACACATTTGAAATCTTCAATCAATCATTGTTAGACCACCATTAGAGACCTGGATTAGCACTGAAATACGGCCGTTTCGTCCTGGTATGGGACTCATCAGCAGGGCGCATCCATGACTCCTACTCCTCGCTCAATTCGAACCCGGGACCTTCGGCGTTGTAGGCGAAAGCCTTACCATCGGACCACTAGGCCGGCATCCAACAGTGTTAATGTCCTAACTCTGATAGATCTAAGGATTTTGTGCGACCTCACCCATTTGTCTTTGGTAGTTACTGTCTACACCCGACAGGGTTTAACTCCACTGATCATGTCTTCTTAACTAGAACTCCGAGAATTTCCTCACGAAGCTAGTCACTAGTGAGCACTGTTAAGATATTTTGGGGCACAGTTTTTGGAGGTTTGCGTTTTCTTCACATTTGAAATCTTCAACCAACCATTGTTAGACCACCATTAGAAACCTGGAAGTAGCACTAAAAGACGGCCGTTTCGTCCTGGTAATTTGAAAAAATAAACTAGGAATATATATCTAATGGAATAGATAGATATTCCATATTTGAAATTTTTGTTAATTTTCGCAGATCGATTTAATTCTTGTACAGAAAAATTGTTGGCTTTGAAATAACGATCATAAAAAAAAACATAAGTTTTCGGTTGGTGGTTTCAAAGAGAATATATTGTTCGCTTGGAGTTTCCTCAAGAGGTTTAATGAGGCTATCTATATACTACTTAATTTTAGTAATGGAATTAGACTGATTTTAGTCAAAAAACAAATCAATCTTACAACTAACTCCGCATAGAGTCCCACCTTAAATACTGTCAGTTCCGAGGCCAGGATAAAAGAAGAGGGTTGGCCATAGGGATCCATGGTGATCCCATCCGCATAGTAAACTAACTCGCTTAAAAAACAGTAGCCAGAAAAAATAAGTTCAAGTATGTAAGTAAGTACATCAATCTGATGTTTGATATGCTAATTTGTTTATTAAGCTGATGATAGACTTCAAGGAACTAGGAGGACAAAATAACGGTCACCCAGAGCTTTCGGAGTTTTCCATGCAAGAGAATACGACCACTGTAGCAGAAACCTCTGCAGCAGTAGGTCTCCACATAAATAAATGAAAAAGTGACAGTCTCCGATGCAACACAACGTGCACCAACCAAATTACTCTTGATGGAGATGCGTTCGAGGACGTTAGCAACTTTACATATCTGGGCTGCATCATGGACGAGAAAGGTGGATCGGATGCAGATGTGAGGGTGCGGATTGGCAAAGCACAAAGGCTGAATTTTTACAGTTGAAAAAGATCTGGAACTCCAAACAACTTTCAATCAAAACCAAAATCAGCATTTTCAATACAAGTGTCAAGACAGTTCTACTGTATGGTGCAGACACATGGAGAACTACGAAAGGCATCATCCAGAAGATACAAGTGTTTATTAACAGTTGTCTACGAAAAATACTTCGTATTCGTTGGCCAGACACCATCAGCAACAATGAACTGTGGGAGAAAACAAACCAGATTTCAGTGGAGGAGGAAATCAGGAAGAAGCGGTGGAAGTGGATAGGACACACATTGCGGAAAGCACCTAACTGCGTCACAAGACAAGCCCTTACATGGAACCCTCAAGGCAAAAGGAAAAGAGGAAGGCCAAGCAGTACATTCGGCCGAGAAATAGAGAAGGATATGAGAGGAATGAACAAACATTGGACAGAACTAGAAAGGGAAGCCCAGGACAGACAGAGTTGGTTGGAGAAAACTGGTAGGCGGCCTGTGCATCATTGAGGGTAACAGGCGTAAGTAAGTAAGTAATCAGTTCATTATTAATACAGTTAGACAATTGAACTAAGCCAGTTTATATATTGCACAGAAATCTTAGTATGTATGTTGTACATCACCTAATCTAATCTAATCTAATCTTATAATAATACAAACACATTGGTAACTTACCGCTAATTTTCTTGTGTAACGTCGTACACGTGAAAGAAATACTGTATCTTTTGTAATATGTAATGTTTGTCTTGCTTTAAATGAATGTGTTAACATGAGATATTTTTTACCAACAATTATTTCATCTATACAAATACATTGTAATGGCCATGAATAAGTTAATATCATTTTTTCATCATATGGATGTATATCAGAATCAAATGTTTTTAATACATGAAAACGAAATAATGGTTGAAATCGATCATTTTTACCAAACCACCATAATGTACCAGATATACGTATAATTGCAGCTGGGAAATTAAGCGAGAAATTTAAAAAAAATGAAGAATATATATATTATTGTACAATTGAACACTTATTATTTGAACTGACAAATGCATTATATTAGTTAATTAGTTGAAATAATCATGAAATAAATTATTTAACATTCAATTTTTAGTCAGTCAGTTGCAACGTAGAACTTTTTAAGTATGTACCTAAGTTCAGGTTGCTGCCATACAGATAGTAGAGGTGTAGTGAACGAGAACACAGGTGGGGCAATCGGATTACTACTTCGGTAATTGTTCTTACCCGTTGGTCTCAAAAAACGGGTACGGCATCTATCCAACGTGTAGCGTTTACTAGTTCCCGCTGCTGGGACTGCAACGTCAACAACTTTGCCTCCGACTCCTCATCGATGTTCGGCAGCGCACGACGCAACAATCTGGTGGGCTCCGCAGAAAGCACCAGCAGCCGACAGCCTCGCCAGCCGGAACTCCTGCAACGCCACCTCCTTGTCCACTGGGCTGTCGAACTACGTCATCAGCCGCCCGGTGACCGTCTCCCACGTCGACTCCACGCCAGCACCGTCCAAGCTGTCATATACGGCTTTTGCCCTACCTCTCAGCAGCATCCCCTGCACCACCAGCTTCGCTTTCGGCTTCTTCACACCCACCAGCTCCGCCATGGCCTCAAACTCCTTCAGAAAGCTCCGCACATCTCCGTCTTCAAACTCCTGAGGCCATGGAATCTTCATCCTGTGTAGAGGCAGCGACAATTGAGAGGACTGCGGCAGGTACGGAAGTCTGTATTGTGCAAATTTACACTCTTAGTTAATTAGAAACGAAAACATTATATTGAACACTCTATTTGCACACCCAACGCCTTCTTCCATTCCTGCCGTTGCTTCCTTTACTTCCTGTCGGTACTCAGTTTACTTCTTGCTTTTGCTCCATTTGCTTTCCGTTTTCCTCTTGTGACCGTGAGACTTCTTCTTTCACGTCCCTTCTTATACTACTTATATCGTTCGTATAAGTAGCACACACCACAGAGGTATTAATGGTAATGAAGAAGACTAGGATTAGAAGATATTATTCAAGAAGTATAATTTAGTGAGATAAGGTTAGAAAGACAAACGTAGGTAGGATATCTCGCATGCGTTACAAGTGACGCAAGTTGGCAAAAGCTAATCGAGCCTTCTGTATCCGAGCGCACAGACTTTCGGACTACACTTTATTTGATAAACATATGTTGTTTAGTAAACTTTTAGCTACAACGATAAAATAATTAATCATATTTTACCTTGAAGTCATGAATGAATCATTGTTAGACAGCCATTAGAAACCTGAAAGTACTGGACGGCTGTTTCGTCCTATAGTGTGGGCCTCATCAGCAGTGCGCATCCACGACTCCTGCACCCAGCAGGATTCGAACCCAGGACCTTCGGTATTGTGCCCGTTAGACCACTGAGCCGGCATCTAACGGTTTCGTTAATGTCTAACTTGATCAAATTCACGAGTTGCGCAACCTCATACACAGTCTTCGGTAGATACTGCCTACACCCGAACAGGTTGAACTTCACTGGTCACATCTTCCCACTAGAACTCGGAGAAGATTCCTCACCAAGCTAGTCACTCGTGAGCACAAGTAATTTGCATTACTGGGTTGTGAAGATTGGTAAGTTACACATTTTTTGAAACCATGAATCGATCAACCAATGTTAGACCACCATTAGAAACTTGGAAGTCATAATTCTATGTATGACATTAAAATAACAACTTGTAAACATGCTTGAAATTTCAGAATTCTCTAAAAAAACAATATCACTGGCATGAAATGGGAATTAGAAAAGCATATTCACCTTCTACTTACTTGTCTACATTGTGCGAATATTCCATGTGCTTATATCAATTGTTGTTCTAGTTGTCAGAAGTTGTATTGGCCTCATGAATCGCGAAGAAGCACGGTTTTCGTCATGAGGCATCATATAGCTCTCATAAATGATGACCTTCCAACATTTAGGGCAGAGTTTTCTGAATAGTTTGAATTATTTGTTCTAGTTAACGAATTTTAGCTAGTTGATGTTCTACGGGAAGTGGGTTGCTAACCCTGTGCCGAACCCTCTTTATTTATCCGTCCTTAGGACCGTCAGTAATCGTAGAATGACTCCAGGTATAGTTGGACTACTTTTTATTTTCATTTAAATTCAGAAGTGCAGTAATTCATATTTGTGTTATTACCGGTTGTTACATTCCTCTAGCGTAAGCATTAAAACAGGTAGCTAGTAAAATATTGATTAGTATTACATCCAGCTGTCAAACTATCCTGATTGTTTGGCGTTTTTAATTATAAATTCAGTTAGACATTAACATTGTTGGATGCCGGCCCAGTGGTTCAGAGATTAGGCGTTCGTGCGCAAGACCGAAGGTCCCCGGGTTCGAATCCTGTTGGGTGCAGGAGTCATGGATGCGCACTGCCACTGATGAGTCCCATACCAGGACACTAATCTCCATAAATCTAATTGAAAAATCATAAATGTATGTATTGTAACGGCTTGCTTGAATAATTCCCAGCTAAATCCTATTGCTTGCTTAGTATTCTCTGACCACACAATGCCACTGGACAAGTTCCCAAGAATCAAAAAACACGGTGGAACAGGAAAAGATTATATTCCAAATAGCAAAGGTTAAATGGAAATAAGAAGCCAAAGGTGATGGCGAAGGCCAAAAAATAGATACAACATTAGTTTATTTATAGCATTTACATGAGAAGCTTCTGGATAGAAATTCACGTGATCGACTGGATTAGATTTAGCCAATCAGCATGCAGCTAACAACAACACAAGAATTTTCTACCGTGTTCTCCAAGAATCGATCAGGCGCTGATTGGATAGGAAATAAGCCAATCAGCGCGCAGTTAACGTAGTCATGCTTTAATTCCATCTACGTCCCACTACTAACAGTATGTACCTAATTAGGTTTAAGCTTTATGGCTGTTTTTTTCCGGCATATTTGAAAGGTTTTATCAACGACTTTACTTTTCTTGGTAGGAGAAATTATTAAACTTCAGTTGGTGCAATGCAAATGGGTTATTGAGAATGTACGAAATAAAGTCACAATTTGGTCGGTACATAATCGACCGATCCTTACAGAATCCAAACTGTTGATCGCGAAGTTGGGCGTCTATGACGATGATGAACCCTACTTCGAAGATAATGCAAAAACTAACCTAGTGTATTCGAAGAATCCAACTAGTGTTAATTGATATTTTTGACATTTTATGACAACAGCGGAAAAACAAATCTAAATAATTAAGATGTAAAAATCATTGAAACCTATAGTAAAATGTGAATTATCAAAGCAAAATTTTTAAACTTACAAACAGTAAAATTCGATTTAATCCATTTACTTCTTGAGTATACATTAGGAAACATTGAATTACATGTTTCAGGTATATCTTTTGGACAGCCATAATTTACTTGAAACAGAAATAAAATAGAATATATAAGAGAATTAAGTAAAAAAAAAGAGATGATAAGTAGAATTAAATCTAAAGTTTTGCTCGGAAAAATAAAATACCAAAAACCTATTTAGCAATCAATGTAATGACATTTGTTTGAATAAACAGTCAGTTTGAAATCATGAATTGATCAGTGTTAGACCGCATTTACAAACCTGGAAGCACTGGATGATTGTTTCGTCTTGATATGGGATTCATCAGTGTTACGCCTGCACGTAAACACGTCATTTTGATATGCTTGAACTATATAACGAGTTTATCTAGTCGGAAAACGAGAGCGAGGATCGAGGAGCCGGCGACACAACATGCTAATCAAATCCGAGTGTCCCAACCCCAACTGAATAAAGGAAGACTTGATATGAAGTAGAACCGGTATTCTGCAGGCATTCAAAAAGTACGAGGTCCGAGTCCAGAAGAGAATCAGGATCCGGGATCGGGTCCTGATCATAAAACGTGACATATAATGCGTATTTATACACTTTAGTCGAATAGGAAACAGCATCGAAGTCTGTGACATTGACAGTTAAGACGACCAATAAGAAGCAACATTTGAAGCGACATTGATAGTCACGATAACCAATAAGAAACAACAATGGAGCACGTGACATTGATATCTACTAGGACGACCATAAAATTGACCAGTAGAAATTAACCAATAGGAATAGACCAATAATTCTCTTAGGATATTTGATGAATATCCTAACAATCAGTAGTCCGCATCCACGAATCCTTCTACTCAAAGGATTCCAACTCACGACTTTCAGTCTCGCACGAAAAAACGCATATCCTCTGGACCACTGAGCCGGTATTTGACGGTATCAATGACTAACAGCCATCTTTCAATGCTTCCAAGTTTTCTAATGGTGGTCTAACGTTGATCGATCTCCACAACCCCATCATCTCTATTATTCTTTAGACTGTCTGTATTTATCTTAGTCAAACAAGTATCTTTTTAATGTTGTTAACCAGTTAACTGTAAACGCATCGTGTTATTGCATTGCCTTTCAATCTTCTTCGTCATTATGAGTGAATATCTTTGCGTCAATCTTGATAATAATTCGAAGAGTTTAAAGTTTTGGTGTATTTCACATTTCCTATCTTGAAATTTAGAAGAATAGTTGACTGGTGGTGGCCTAGTTATAGTGCCTGTGACATGCTCATCTTTCCCCAATTAATACTCATCAACTGGATTTATTTGATTTGTGCTATTGATTTTCACTGTAGATCTCGAACCCAGTGATCAGAATAAATCTGCCCATGCTACACCCAGTTCATCCCACTCCAACTCTGCCCAAAAGTCAAAAATAAATCCCCCTGCTGCTTGCTGACACTGCGGCTTATGGCACTATGTACGGAACTGATCATTTAGGCAACATCGATGCAGGAAGTGTAAGATCATCCATCGGTCATAAAGATGGTTTTTGACTAAAGAAAGAGCCGAACCGATCCAGTACCAATGCATTGAACTTAATATTTTCCTGCCAAAGCTCATCACCAGGTGAGAGGAAATTTATTACTCTTAATATTAACGGGCATTTGTGTAGATTGCAAATAGATACTGCATCTGATGTCACCATCCTCTCATGCGAAAACTGAACCGAATTGGATAGCCCAAGCCTGAAGCAAACAAAACAGAAACCTCGTAAAGCATGTGGTAATTACCTTCACTTGAAAAATTCAACCTACTGTGTACTAAATTATTCAGTCCTGATAGATATTAATTTGTGTAACTGTCAGGATATTCATGCAATATCCTTAGAGAATAATTGGTCGATTCCTATTGATTAATTCCTACTGGTCAATTTTATGGTCGTCCTAGTAGATATCAATGTCACGTGCTCCAATGTTGTTTCTGATTGGTCGTCTTAACTGTCAATGTCACAGACTTCGATGATGTTTCCTATTCAACCTAAATGTATAAATATGCATTTTCTGTAACATTCTAGGACCAGGACTCGGAACTCGTACTTTCTGGATGCTTGTAGAATACAGGTTCTACTTCATACCATATCCTCTTATCTCTACTCAATATGGGGGTTGGGATAATCGGATTTGAATAGCATGTTGTGTCACCGGATCCTGGATCCTCGCTCTCGTTTTCCGACTAGGTAAACCCGCAATAGTTCAAGTATATCAAGTTGACGTGTTTACGTGCAGGCATAACAGTAACTGTATTTAAACATTGTTTAACTGAAAGTTATTTTCTTCTCCTAACACTTTTGAAAAATTTCACTTTGATAGAGAATAATTAATTTTAGGAAATGCCTTTAGGAGGAAAGAAAAAATTTTTTATGAACTTCATCACTATACTTTCCGATTTTTATCATTTACAGTTATATCCCGGACTTATTTCAAATAATAATGAATGTTTCAGTTAAGTTACTCATTGAAAACACTCAAATTGTAAGGTTCATTCAACCTGTTCAGGTGGAGACAGTAACTATCGAAGACAGTGTATGAGGTTGCGTAAGACCGTGAATTGATCGAGGCTAGTCACTAACACCGCTAGATAGCGGCTCAATGGTCCAAGGGTAAGACGTTCGGACGCAAGACCGAGGGTCCTGGGTTCGAATCCTACGAGTTGTAGGATTCGTGGATGCGCACTGCTGATGAGTCCCATACCAGGACGAAACGGAGGTCCGTGGTTCCTTTGTTTCTAATGATGGTCTAACATTGAGTGATTCATGATATCAATGAGTAACTGTACAATCTTCACAACCCCGTAATGAAATAATGAGTTTATAGTTTTTTTGCAATGTTAAATGTAGATAGAAGAGTGTGACGTTTTTAAAATTCATGTTTTTAGTTCAGTTCGGAAATTTTCGCCGTGAATTCATGACATGTTGGACAGTGCCAACCAGGTTGGTCAGTTATTTAAATTGTCTTTCACATTCAGTGTTTGAGACTAGGTGTTAGAAAATGGTGACCTGAACTTCGCTCAGATGATTTAGCCCTTCCATCGTGCACGTAACAGCAAATGAAGGAGACGACAACCAGTGTAACAACTGCCTCTGCAGCACTAAGTCTCAACCTGCACAAGAGAAAAAGCAAAATTCCCCTATACAACACAACAAGCACCAACCAAATCACACTTGGAGGATTTGGAGACCCTTACATATCTGGACAGCATCATTGATAAACAAGGTGGATCTGATGTGCACGGATTAGCAAAGCAAGGAAAACATTTCTACAATTGAAGAACATCTGCCACTCAAAGCAGTTGTTTGCCAGCCAACATTGAATTCGGAATTTTCATTAACGAACGCTAAAAAAGTTCTGTCTTATGCAACGGAAATTTGGAGAACTATGAATGTCATTATTCGAGGTATAAAGGTGTTTTTTTTTAAACAGTTTTCTACACATAATTCTGTGGATCCCATTGGCTAGACTCTATCAGCAACAACCTACTCTGGGATGGATAGAACAAATCAGATTCCAGTTGAGGAAGAAATTAGGAAAAAGCTCTGCAGGTGAATAAGACAAACATCGATGAAAGTATCCAACTGCATCACTAAACAGGTAGTTAACTTGGAATACTCAAGATCAAGGATAAGAGGAAGACCAAAGAACACATTATTTCGCGCATTGTCAGCAGATATGAAAAGAATGATTGGGTATAACTGTCAAACAAGGCTCAGGACATAGTAGGTTACAGAATTCTGGTCGGTGGCCGATGCTCCACTAGGCGATAACATGTGTGTAAGTGGGTAGGTAATTACCAATGAAATATCAATGCATACAGTAGTTTCCTACTGAATTTAAACAGTGTTACATAATCTAAATTTCATTAAACACAGTCATGTATCGTAACAGTTCTCACTAGTGACTAGCTTCGTGAGGAAATTCTCGGAGTTCTAGTAATGGGAAGACGTGACAAATGGAGTTCAACCCTGTCGGGTGTAGGCGGTAACTACCGAAGACAAATGGGTGAGGTCGCACAAAATCCCTAGATCAATCAGAGTTAGACATTAACACCGTTGGAAGCCGGCCCAGTGGTCCGATGGTAAGGTGTTCGCCTACAATGCCAAAGGTCCCGGGTTTGAATCCTGCGAGGAGCAGGAGTCGTGGATGCGCACTGCTGAGGAGTCCCATACCAGGACAAAACGGCCGTCCAGTGCTTCCAGGTTTCTGATGGTGGTCTAACAATGATGATTGATTGAAGATTTCAAATGTGTAAAAACGCAAACCTCCAAAACTGTGCCCCAATATACAGTCATAAATATTAAACCTGATGTTTATTTTCAAAGTAAACAGTAGAATTACATATCAATGATGATGATGATATTATGACCTTAATTACAAAAAAACGTTGGGAAAGAGTTTACTGATAATTTTCTCTTCTACTATACGAATTATTTAGTAGTTTCTTTTTTATTGTTTTACAAAGGTCATAATAAATTAGTCTTCTTTTTGTGAAAAAAGGTCATACTGTGTTGTACGCTACTTATATTCACATAAGTAGTAGTATATGATATCAAATTGGAAATAAAACGTCTAACAGCAAAAAATATCGAGAATGAAAGAATGAGAGAACAGAAGGCGATTTGCAGTGTAGGTAACGAACGTAAAGTGAACTGAAGTCTGAACAGTCTAAATGAAAGAACACACTGAAATCTGAAATAAATAAGAATTAGTTTGTAAATGATGAAGGTTTCACGGGAAGGATATGTGCATATGCTTAACGACTCTGTAATATTGTGGTGTGAGCTACTTATAAGTAGTATATGACGTGAGTGTCAACGTAATGTCTGGCAGCAGAAGGTGGGGGAAGATCAAGAAAGGAAGAGGAGTGGGAACACAATGGAATTTGTATGAAACGCATGAACAGTGAAATGTCAGACAATGGATTGATGATGGATTGAAGATTTGCAAATTAACGGTTACGATATGGTTTTCCTATTTTACTGAGTAACTCTGTAATTTTCGTTAGATACAATTCGGTTGCCCTCACCTGTGTT